GACAAGTTGATTTTGCATTATAATTCAAATGGTAAGTTTTCAGTCCAAAGTGCTTACCACCTTACTTATGAATGCCAACTATTCCACTTAGCACATCTTGTAGCTGGTCCATCTTCTAGTAATGGAAATGAGGGACGGAAATTCATTTGGAATAAAGAGTTGCCAACAAAGATCAATTTTTTTATTTGGAAGTTGCCCTTGAATGCTCTAACTACAAATGACAATCTTAAGCAAAGGAAAGTTAGATTTGATAGTGTTTGTTTGCGTATGTGGAGAGGAAAGAGAGACTGCATTGTATATTGTGAAGGATTGTCCTTGGGCGAAGCTGTCTTGGGAAGGTGGTTTGTTGCATGAAGCAATATCGTTCCCAACAAATAGGATTGAAGTTTGGCTAGAAGAGATGCACCATCACCTAAATGCTAATTTATTCAGGGTGTTCATTGTACAATGCTAGTTTATTTGGTCCCATATGAATGGGGTTCTTTTTGAGAATCTGAAAGAGGATCCCAGGACATTATAGCTATCGGTAGTGGAGTTTGTGGTGCGCTTCCAGTTGGTACACGAACAGAGGAGCTCCATGGAAGAGCCACCAACTACTATATGGCAACCCCAAAGTATAGAGCCTTTAAAGTTAATTTTGATGGTGCAGTTTTTTATTCACAAGGTAAGATTGGAATGAGAGTTATGATCAGAGATGAGTGGGGTATTTTTGTGGCTGGGTTTTCCAAGTAGGCACTATCTTTTTGTGAAGCACAGATAGCGGAACTGCTTGCGGCAAGAGAAGCTATTCTGTATGCGAGGCAATTTGGACTTGGCAAAATTAGTTTGGAAAGGGATTCAATAATGGTTATGAAGATGATCTCTGGTGAGGAGGGAGACTTTGATCCAATGGGTTCTATTTTAAGTGCTATCAAGATCATAGTTCAAGATTTTCGATGCTTTAATGTTTCTACTGTCCATAAGACTGTGAATAGTGTAGCACATAAGTTAGCGAGAAACACTATATTTGTTTATGATATTGATATATGGGAGGAGACGACACCTGATTTCTTTATGTCTATCCTCCTTTCTGATATTTCTCCGCAATAAAAATTTCTATCGTTTCCTAATACTCTGTGAAAACAAAATGTGTCAACAAAATATTCATCGAAAGTGTGACTATACAACTGACTTCATATATAGTGGATAGGTAGTTTGTATCCAAATTAAAAAAAAAATTTATATCTCAAACATTATGGTTGTCCCCTTTTATATAGAAAGTGTGACACTATAGTGTGCCTTCAATTTATTTAAAAATAAAATAAAATAAAACACGTCAATATACATGTCTTAAAGAAGCAACACATATCCACAAACATGTCAATTGAAAGTGTTATTTCAGAAAAAAATGCATCTCAAACATTATGGTTGTTTCCATCATATTTAGTGAATTAATAGTGTGACACTAGAGTGATACTTCAATTCATAGACAGTGTGGTTTCATAGAGTGACTTCATAGTATTATTCTTCTCTAAAACTCCTATATTTTAAGTTTTTTTTTTTAATATTTTATATATATATATATATATATATATATATATATATATATATATCAATCAAATTATTGTTGAAACTTAATCTGTTTCTTTCCCTCCTTTCTTTTTATTTTTTTTTATAGAATTTTAATTTTCTCAATTAACAAAACTCCAATCAATAATTAAAACCTGTATTTTTTTAAATTCATCCACTAACTGTAAATCGTTATATATAGTGTAACTGTTATACATAATATAACTATCCAATAAAAAAAACAAAAAAGATAAAATATGGTCCACTTTCTATCATAGAGATGGTAATATAATACATAACAAGATGATTATGAATTTTAATGGGACCTATTTGTTGATTTATTTGCTTATTAATAGACCGTTACACGACATGAAACTATTGACATGGTGTAACGGTTACCACCAATATTTTTTTCCATATTCATCCAACTATTTACAGTGAGTTAAGCATTCCACTTCAAATTCTTTTTCCTCTCCACAACTTTGCCTAGTAAATTAATATTTTTAAACTTTGAGGTTATAAATTAAAATTCGATTGATCTTTCGGCGTGTAAGTTGAGATTAACCCTTAAGATTGTAAGTTAATCTCAAATTACATCCTGAAAGATTGTTTAAATCTTAATTTATACCCTTAAAGATAAAAAATTTTAATTTATACCCTCAAAGATAAAAATTTGTATCAATATCCATTTCAAGCTAAAAACCGTTATTTTATCATCTAAAACTAAATAGATACATTATAGTTAGACATCTTCATACTTGTCATTTAATCATCTAGACTTCTGACATTTAAAATATTACATTTACATCCCTTAAAAATTTAAATATAACTAAAAATATTCTCCCAATTGGGCATTCAAATAATTCCGTTTAAGTGATGTATTACATTAGATATAAAGAATATTATATAAATATCTGCATTATATTAGACATTCAAATAATAAACTTGATTTTGAATTTTAGAGTATAACGGATTTACAAAATAAAGGGTAGTATAAAATTATAATTTTTTTTTAGGATGAAATCATACTTTTTAATGGTTATATTAACAGAGGTGTATAAGTAATATTCTAAATGTAAGAGGTCTAAATAATTAAGTGACAAGTACGAAAGGATTTAAGTGTAATTTATCCATTTAGTTTTAGTCAACAACTTGACCGCTGTTAGTTTTAGGTACGCATTAATACAAATTTTTATCTTTAAAAGTATAAATTGACATTTTTGATAGTGGGTTAAAAGTGGTTATCCACTGGTAGGATGAGATAAAATAGGATTGGGACCCAGAAATCCCTCATTTGAGAAACCATTTTTAAGGTTGGATACTAATTATGGGTCAAGGCTTGACCTGATTGTCATGATAGTTTTAACCCCCATAAGAGCAACTCCAAGGAGGCTATGTAAACTAGCTAGTAAAAATATATTTTTATTATTATATTATCTACTTTAACTAACCACTTTTTCAAATTCACTCTAACCATACTATTTATTTTAGCTATCCATTTCAACTAACTATTAATTATTAAAATCGAAAATACTATGTAATATGTCATATCATCACCTTATTGATGGCATCATATGCCGACGTGTTACGCCATGTCATCAAAATTTTAAAATTTTAATTTTTATTAATAACAGTCATATTTATAACAGTCACGAAATTCAAAATTTTAAAATTTAAATTTTTCAACGGTCATATTTTTAGATATGTATAAATAGGATCTTCCATCTATCATTGTCATACACCTCAAATCTATTTATTGGTATTGCACTTTCTTTTGTGTTTATGTTTGGGCTCACCATCCTTTAATGAAGATGATTTTGACTCCGATGATAAATTAAAGATGACAACAATTTGTGCTATCGAAATTAACAAACTCAATAGCGAGGAAAGATTTGGTGTACGTCGTGGTTCCATTCAAGATCATTCAATTATTTTTCGCAATCAAGTTCAAGGGTACGAGACTATATCATGATTATTTTGCTGAACTGCTTATCTTTATCCCCTAAATTTATTTCAAAGAAGGTTTTGAATGAATTGAATCTTTTTCCTTTATATTCTATCAATGGTGGAAGATTATGATTCATATTTTGTCCAAAAAAAAAGATGTTTCTGGAATTATTAGTTTTTCTTCTCTTCAAAAGATGACAGCCGTCATAAGGATCCTTGCTTATGGAGTTGTTGCAGATGCTGTTGATGATTATGTGAGGATTGACGAAAGCATTGCAATAGAAAGTTTGAAAAGATTTGTGAGGGCGGTAGTAACAATTTTTTTTGATGAATACCTTAGGTCACCAAACAACGATGACATTGTTAGATTATTAGCAATGGATACCAATCGTGGATTTCCTGAAATGTTGGGTAACATTGATTGTATGCATCGAAAATTGAAAAATTATCCAACAGCATGGCAAGGTATATATTTTGGTCAAGGTATTGCTCGACATTTCCACAAATAGAACACATCTCTGCGCAAACTCAGATTTGTCAAAGACTATCAAACCAAAGTTTTAGAACACATCCCTGTGCAAACTCAGATTTATCAAAGACTATCAAAGCAATATCAGATTTATTTCGTGAAAAAACCCATCACAAATCATGCAAAATAACTCAAACCTAGTTCATAAAATTAGGCAACTATAACTCTCAAGGCTATAAACCCCCTGTATTGTATCATACAGGGAATAGTTCAGGTGCATCTACGGAAAATAACTCAAACCCAGTTCATGTGTGTATGCGCAGAGTGTTGGTCATCACTCTACGGCATTTGATCGAACATCTTATAGGCGTTGTGCGATGTGTATGTTGTGCGATGTGTATGTTGTGCATGTAAAAATAGGCAGCCTATAAAAAGAAGCAGCAAGAGAAAGAGAGAAGCAGGATTAAGGGAAGGTCTGAACTTGCGGTAGCAATTGGCAATGGCAGTGGATCAGCAACGACGGGTGGAATAAAATAACAAATCAGTTCATATGGAATAAAATAAAAATCCCTAAGCGAATAAAAGAGAAAGCAATCATGCATAAATGACACTGAAATTGAAAGGTATATTTCTTTTTGCCATTGTAGAAGGAGGTAAATTTTTGTTTGCCATTGAAGAAGGAGGTCGTTTCAATCGAAAATCAAAAACCAATTGAAGTTTGAAATCAAAAATCGAACACAAGCATAACTCTACTAATTAGCAATATAAGTCAGATCTGAGGTACCTGAAGCAAATGGTATCTGCCTTCTGAAGACGATGAAGACAATCTTTTGCGATGAAGCTTCTAAGGTGTTGTTGGCACAAAAATCAGAGTAGCTAGCGTCTTTACCCTGGCCAAGAGTAGCCAGCCAAATGGTGGTAATGGGAAATAGCTAGTCCCTTGGAGCCCATATTTAAGGATTGGCTTTGTAAAATAGCTAAAAAGGATGGTTTATGGAGTCCCTTGGAGCTGCTCTAAGCCGGTCACACCCAGGCAATGGGTTAACCCCCACCCCCAAGGCGTATTTGCCCCTCTCTTTCTCCACGTACTCACAATGACGAAGCACTCTCTCTTTTCTCCTGATAGCTGAGCTCGTCCAAGGGTTTGCACGAAGAAGACAACATCAGTGGTGTGTGCTCGAAGAACGAAAAACAGAGCTTCTTCTTGAGGTAAGTTTCCGCAACAAATTCTTCTACCCCACCATCAACATAAACAAGCTTTGGTTGATGGTTCCTCAAGATATGAAAGACAAGGCCAATCAGAGTAATGTTCCGATGATTGATGTGACTCAGTTTGGGTACGTCAAGGTGCTTGGGAAGGGTGTCTTGCCCAGTGATCAGCCAATGGTTGTCAAGGTAAGCTCATTTCCAAGATTGTCGAAAAGAAACTTAAGGAGGCTGGTGGTGCTGTGGTTCTCACCGCTTAGGTCTAGTTTATTGTTATTCGATTTTGTTTGTTAGGGTTTTGAAGGTTTACTGTGTTTTGGAATGCTTTGGAGATGTTATACTTTCGCTTTAAGTAATCTCGACTTACTTTTCTTTATTATAGATCTGTCCATTTCCTAAATTTGTTGATCTATTAATGGAAAATGCGGTGATATTAACAGTTACCTATATTTGTTTGTGTGCTATTGTTGTTTATAATAGTTAATCTAAAATTGCTCTATCCGGTGATATTGTCTGCTGAATAAAATTTATTTTTTATTGATTTGGTGGTTAGGTTCTAGTAATTTTGGGCTGCTAATTTTTGATTCAATTTATGTGCATTGCTTTGCCATATTTTGTAGATGAGTTTAAAATTGTATTGATACGTTTTTGTAAGGGTTAGTGTGGATGGAACAATGTAGAAATGTGTTTTTCGATTTTCATGTTTGGTTTGGATGTATTTATGTTTGCAAGAACATTTTGTCTGGTAATGTAGTTATACAAGTGGGGAAAAAGAGTAGGATAGGCCTAATTGTTGAACCAGCTCTGCTGTTCATGTTTGAATGGCCGTTTGGAACTAGAACTTGTTTGCAATGCTTTTGTTGGTTGATTGTCCTTTTGCTTTGGCCATTTGGGATAGACTAGTTGCGCTGATGTGTTAAAAGGAGATTTTGAAATCAAGTTTTTGTTGCTGCGTTGGTTTTTTTTTTTTTTTTTTCCAGTCGAAGTATTGGAGACTGCTTTTATATTTTCATTGTTTTGGTTGGAAACGTAGTAATAAAGTGTTGATTTGTTTGAAAAAAAATAACTTGCCTAACAAATAAAAATTATTATTTTATTTTTATATGTTTTTATTTATGCGTGAAAAATTTATAATTTTATTAGGATAATCCACTAATCCAAACAAAAGATATAGTTGGTTTGAATTGAAATTGATAGAGTCATGGATAGAATAGTAAATTATTATATAATTATTTGTGTAATCTATGAGGCCACTGATTTACACATTTGTTTTTCAAATAAATGTTAGGATTGGATATATTCGAAAGTTAGAGTTTTAAAGTGGACAAGTACGTTTGACTTGTACGAGTTAGGATATAAAAAAAAAAATCCTACTCTATCCAACCCAATTTTGGGGTATAAAATAAAATTCGAACAATGTTTCGGGATATAATTTGTAATTAATCTAAATTTTTTTTGGTCCGTCTCCCTTCTCTTGCCTCCTCTCCCGTGTCTCATTCTCTGCTCCGTCTCCCTTTCTCTTCCTCCCTTTCTCACGTTGCCCTTTCTGTTGTTTCCCTCTCTTCGCCGCTGTCGCCGGAAGCAGCAAGACATCCTGTTACTCCCTCTCTCTCTCTCTCTCTCTCTTCTACCCCCTCTATCTATCCAGCTCGGAGCGGCAAGCCATCCCGTTCCCCTGAAACTCACACACACGCCAAAGCTGCAAGACATACGAGTTATTGTTTGATTTGTCCTTCAATTTGTTTNGAGCGGCAAGCCATCCCGTTCCCCTGAAACTCACACACACGCCAAAGCTGCAAGACATACGAGTTATTGTTTGATTTGTGCTTCAATTTGTGTCATTTGGGATTTTTTGGGGATCCAAAAAAATCTAGATCTTGCTTCATTTGTGCTTTAATTCTGTTAATTTTCTTAGTATTTATGTTTTCTTTTATAGATTATCTATGGTGGATTTTACCAGGCCAAGCATGTAGAGCATAAAAGACATTATTGGCTATGTGTGTAGATCGGTTCTGTTTTTGAGTTTGTGAATCAACAGCCTGTTATTGGAGTTCTGCACTTGGATAGTGCGTTTTATGCTCCATTGCTTGGTTGGATTCTTTGCATTTTCTTGAATCTCTACTTATGTAAGTAGTTTCCAAATGTCTTATTCTGTGTATCTTTGTAGGTTCTTTCATGTTCTATATTTTTTTGAAGACAGTTCATTAAGTTTCAGACTATGGCAAATTTCATTAGATATTCAGAATGTTTGTAATGTATTTATCGTGGCCCATCTCTGTCTTTCTTTATCTGCTGGTGTGACATTGTCGATATATCATAAAGCCACAACCTGAACATCAGGGGTGGCTTAATACAATTGGAGGCCTAAAGCAACCAATATTAAATAGGCCTTTTATTTTTAAAAATAATTTATATCTTTTTTTTGGCCTTTTGAGATGAAATTTTTTTATTGCATTTTTATTAAGTTTAGCTAACATATTTTTTTGATTGACTGAACAATTAATTCGCGTAGCCTTTCTTGGATTGAAATCCTCTCCATTACTCTCTCTCTCTCTATTCGTATCAATGTCTAAAGTAGCTTAATATTAGTCATAGCTGCATAAACCCTTATATGACTATGTGGGAATTTACAAAGAAGATGTCCTTTCTCCCATGAATGAGGTTGAGGTTTTTCTATTTCTGTTTTTAATGTTATTTGCTCTTTTATTGAAGATTATGATGCGTTTTGGTTTGTGCATTTCGTTACAAATTCTTCTCTTGCTAACTTTGGTATACGAACTACAAAGCTGTAATTGAACGTGCGCGGGCCCAACTCTATTTAGTGTTTCTTAGTTGGTTAGGACTTTTTGGGGCTTTTATGGTCAGAATTTTTTAGTTAGATCATACTTTAAGGCTATGAAATTTGGGGGCCTTCCTTCATGGGTGGGGCCTAAAGCCCCTGCATCAATTCCTATACTGTTGGGCCGGCTTTGCTGAACATACACTTTAGATCAACGGTGCAATTCTAACCAAGGTGAAATTTTTAATAGCCACGTGATGTTTAATGCATACCCGTTACACATTTGTTTAATTAAATCTTTATGTTGCTTATGTTAAGGGGGAACTCACAAGCTTATATGTGCAAACAAGTTTCTCGGTTTGTTTGGGTGGGTTATGCTTAATTTCTTAGTAGTTTACCTTCTATACATTATATCTTTCAGGCTCATTACCATCTGGTGTGGTGCTTCATTAAATAAAAGTTGCAATTTTTTTTTTAGTTGGTCATTGATATCACATGTATGTTGTTATCAAGATTTTTACTGTAGTCAAAGGAAAATGCCTACTGATGCACTTTTCGGGTATCTCTGTAAATCACCAAGTGCATCAGCATAAAATATCAATGGAAATTACACTGATGTCAAGCCTTTCATAATTTAGTCCACCTGAAATGGTAGGGACATTACCCAATATTACCTTCAATTTTCACTATGTTCGCGTTGTTATATCTTTAATCATATGCACCAATATGATAATACCTCTATTCTAAATTAGTATAGCTAATAGATTTTGAGTTGCATCCTATAATCTAACTTAGATAACTGTTCGAGTCTGAGCAATGGGTAACTAACAAGTTCAATTGGCGGATTAAGTTTTTGCTTGATTTTATTTCAACTGTGAGAATAGATTGATATATTCCAATTTTACATAGGCCGTGCATTGCATGGGGTCAACACAAGTATATATATCTATGACTTGTTTTCTACTCATATTCTTTGTACTGAATATATGAAAGTTGCATGCATTTTTTTAAAAGAAAAATTGAGCTTGATTGTGAGTTTCCGTTACTTAATTTTATTGACACAAGCATAGTTGTATCTTTCTTAGTGTCATTCCGTTGTAATTTAATTCATTTAGAATTAAATAGCTCATTTGTTGTTGTTTTGTATTGTGTATCACATATGGGTCCCTGATTTTTTTATCATCTTTCATAAGCTTTTTGTTTATGCGTCACCAAATAGCTTGTGTTTTGAGTCACATATTCTCAGAATCACTCTTTCACTGAAAGATAAAAAATGAGTAGATTGAAATGATGGGTGTGTGAGCTGCCGTCTGTTTATATCGTGTGCATCAGGGAAACACACTAAGGTTATTGGTATGTCATATAATGAAGATCACATGACCTGCTGATTTTTTTTTGGCTTAAATTAATTGCATATTTCTCCCCCGACCCTTATGGCACCAAGATTCATAGTTTGCAGAATTATCTTAATTTTAGCGACCAACAAACAAGATTTATGTCCAGTGCGATGGAAGAATTCTTCTTTTGGGTTATAAGTATTATTTTTTGTTTCCTACATCCAATCAGTAGTCTTTTATTTCAGCCATGTTGGTTGAAAATGTAAATGATTGATGATCATTTACGAAACCATTGCAATATAAACTCCTTTGCTTACTACTTTATTTTGTTACTGCTTTCCCTAGCTGCAGTCATTTGTTTTTTGATGTGATGTAGGCATTTTGTTGTTTGTTGTGAATTTTCCAGTAGCCTGTATTCTTGAGGATGGTGAGAGTTAGTGTCTTGAATGATGCTCTCAAGAGCATGTACAACACAGAAGAAGGGGAAATGGCAGATCATGATAAGCCCTTTTTCAAAAGTGATTGTCAAGTTTCTTCTGGTGATGCAGAAGCATGGTTTGCCTTCCTGCATTCATTCGTCTCCATCAGTTCTGATATTATTTTGCAAAGAAAATTTATACCTGTCTAAATTTGTAAGTATAGGTGTATTCTGTCTACAATTGGATTCGTAGGTCATTTGAGAGTTCGAGTATGTTGATAACCATAGAGCTGGAAAAATTGTCTTCGAATTGAATGTAAGGCTGAACAAGTGTAGGGTTATCAGTTTTTGTTTTGACATGGGGGTTAAAGAAATAGAGCCTTGGACTGCCAGACTGCTCCCTTGAAGACAGGTTGTCTTTTGAAAATCCCAATTAATTTTCTTTGAATGGGGTCCACAATTTCTTTTGAAATGGATTTATAAACAACTTAGATTATCTTGAGTTAGAATTGGTGTAGAATGTATTTGAGTGGTGGATAAACTGAGAAAGAAAGAGAATGACAAATCTTAACATTCCTGACGCAGTTAGAATGTCTAACAGAATTTGCACATCTCCATGTGATAATTAAAATGGTTGACATGCTCAATCAGTTTCATTCTTCTTCCTCATGCTTTTTTGTCTTTCCTACTAATATGACTGGGTTTTTTTTGGTAAATGTGTAGTAAACTTGCAATTTGGCTACATTGTGCTGACAACATC